ACTGTGATGAGGAGACATGCTGGCCTCACTCCCTCTGGTCTCTCCCTCTGGTCTCTCTCTCTGGTCTCTCTCTGGTCTCTCTCTGGTCTCTCTCTCTGGCCTCTCTCTCTGGTCTCTCTCTGGTCTCTCCCTCTGGTCTCTCTCTCTGGTCTCTCTCTCTGGTCTCTCCCTCTGGCCTCTCTCTCTGGTCTCTCTCTGGTCTCTCTCTGGTCTCTCCCTCTGGTCTCTCTCTCTGGTCTCTCTCTCTGGTCTCTCCCTCTGGCCTCTCTCTCTGGTCTCTCTCTCTGGTCTCTCTCTCTGGTCTCTCCCTCTGGCCTCTCCCTCTGGCCTCTCTCTCTGGTCTCTCTCTCTGGTCTCTCTCTCTGGTCTCTCTCTCTCTGGTCTCTCTCTCTGGTCTCTCTCTCTGGTCTCTCTCTCTGGTCTCTCTCTCTCTGGTCCTCTCTCTCTGGTCTCTCTCTCTGGCCTCTCTCTCTGGTCTCTCTCTCTGGTCTCTCTCTCTGGTCTCTCTCTCTGGTCTCTCTCTCTGGTCTCTCTTTGGCCTCTCTTTCTGGCCTCTCTCTCTGGTCTCTCTCTCTGGCCTCTCTCTCTGGTCTCTCTCTCTGGTCTCTCTCTCTGGTCTCTCTCTCTGGTCTCTCTCTCTGGTCTCTCTCTCTGGCCTCTCTCTCTGGCCTCTCTCTCTGGCCTCTCTCTCTGGTCTCTCTCTCTGGCTTCTCTCTCTGGTCTCTCTCTCTGGTCTCTCTCTCTGGTCTCGCTCTCTGGTCTCTCTCTCTGGTCTCTCTCTCTGGTCTCTCTCTCTGGTCTCTCTCTCTGGTCTCTCCCTCTGGTCTCTCCCTCTGGTCTCTCCCTCTGGTCTCTCCCTCTGGTCTCTCCCTCTGGTCTCTTCCTCTGGTCTCTTCCTCTGGTCTCTCTCTCTGGTCTCTCTCTCTGGTCTCTCTCTCTGGTCTCTCCCTCTGGTCTCTCCCTCTGGTCTCTCTCTCTGGTCTCTCCCTCTGGTCTCTTCCTCTGGTCTCTCTCTCTGGTCTCTTCCTCTGGTCTCTCTCTCTGGTCTCTTCCTCTGGTCTCTCTCTCTGGTCACCATCTCCCAATTCTAAAGCAGGTCTAAAGCAGGTCTAGAGCAGGTTTAAAACAGGTCTAAAGCAGGTCTAAAGCAGGTCTAAAGCAGGTCTAAAGCAGGTCTAGAGCAGGTTTAAAACAGGTCTGAAGCAGGTCTAGAGCAGGTCTAGAGCAGGTCTAAAGCAGGTCTAAAACAGGTCTGAAGCAGGTCTAGAGCAGGTCTAAAACAGGTCTGAAGCAGGTCTAAAGCAGGTCTAAAACAGGTCTGAAGCAGGTCTAGAGCAGGTCTAGAGCAGTCCTGGTTTACGGCCTGGGTGTGCCTGTTTGTGCGTGTGACGTTTGGAGTGAGTCAGGTCTTAATGACAGACCAACCCACCTGCTCCAAACACGAGAACACGAGATCATGAGATCACAGGGGCCACAGACGAGTCCGAGACCGAGACCTGAGACCTGCGACCTGAGACCTGCGACCTGAGACCTGACCGCTACAAGACCCTGGACTCAGATCGGAACTAATCGATTATTGAAATACTGGGAAAGTCATTTAGAGTAAAATTAAAAATACAGTGGTCTTTGGTTTATCAGAACAGAGAGACCAGAGAGAGAGAGACCAGAGAGAGAGAGAGACCAGAGGGAGAGACCAGAGAGAGAGACCAGAGAGAGAGAGACCAGAGAGAGAGACCAGAGGGAGAGACCAGAGAGAGAGAGACCAGAGAGAGAGACCAGAGAGAGAGAGACCAGAGAGAGAGACCAGAGGGAGAGACCAGAGAGAGAGAGACCAGAGAGAGAGACCAGAGAGAGAGAGACCAGAGAGAGAGAGACCAGAGAGAGAGACCAGAGAGAAAGAGAGACCAGAGAGAGAGAGAGACCAGAGAGAGAGAGACCAGAGAGAAAGCGAGACCAGAGAGAGAGAGAGACCAGAGAGAGAGAGACCAGAGGGAGAGACCAGAGGGAGAGACCAGAGAGAGAGACCAGAGGGAGAGACCAGAGAGAGAGACCAGAGAGAGAGACCAGAGAGAGAGACCAGAGAGAGAGACCAGAGAGAGAGACCAGAGAGAGAGACCAGAGAGAGAGACCAGAGAGAGAGGCCAGAGAGAGAAGCCAGAGAGAGGCCAGAGAGAGAGACCAGAGAAATAAAGTTAAATAAAGTTAACTGTTGTACGTTAAACAAGAGGTTATGAGATGTTGTTGGAGTAAACGATGTGTGTGTCTCAGGTTGTGTGTCTGTGTGTCTCAGGTTGTGTGTCTGAGTGTGTCTGTGTGTGTCTCAGGTTGTGTGTCTGAGTGTGTCTGTGTGTGTCTCAGGTTGTGTGTCTGAGTGTGTCTGTGTGTGTCTCAGGTTGTGTGTCTGTGTGTGTCTCAGGTTATGTATCTGTGTGTGTCTCAGCTTGTGTGTCTGTGTGTGTCTGTGTGTGTCTCAGGTTGTGTATCTGTGTATGTCTGTGTGTATTGTTCAGTGCCTCTAATCGTTTCCATCTTGTGTGTTTCTTCTGTGACTTGGTGTTCGCCCACATCAGAGCTGCCACAGCATGGTTCTCACACTGGTCCTGTGACAAAACAGGACTAAACCAGGACTAAAGGAGGTCTAAAGCAGGTCTAAATCAGGACTAAAGCAGGTCTAAAGCAGGTCTAAAGCAGGACTGAAGTCTCTCTGGTCCCTCTCTGGGCTCTGGTCTCTGGTCTCGCTCTGGTCTCGCTCTGGTCTCGCTCTGGTCTCGCTCTGGTCTCTCTCTGGTCTCTCTCTGGTCTCTCTCTGGTCTCTCTCTGCTCTCTCTCTGCTCTCTCTCTGCTCTCTCTCTGGTCTCTCTCTGGTCTCTCTCTGCTCTCTCTCTGCTCTCTCTCTGGTCTCTCTCTGCTCTCTCTCTGGTCTCTCTCTGGTCTCTCTCTGGTCTCTCTCTGGTCTCTCTCTGGTCTCTCTCTGGTCTCTCTCTGGTCGCTCTCTGGTCGCTCTCTGGTCTCTCTCTGGTCTCTCTCTGGTCTCTCTCTGGTCTCTCTCTGGTCGCTCTCCCTCTGGTCTCCCTCTGGTCTCCCTCTGGTCTCCCTCTGGTCTCCCTCTGGTCTCCCTCTGGTCTCTGGTCTGTGGTCTGTGGTCTCTTTCTCTCTGGTCTCTCTCTCTGGTCTCTCTCTCTGGTCTCTCTCTCTGGTCTCTCTCTCTGGTCTCTCTCTCTGGTCTCTCTCTGGTCGCTCTCCCTCTGGTCTCCCTCTGGTCTCCCTCTGGTCTCTGGTCTGTGGTCTGTGGTCTCTGGTCTCTCTCTCTCTGGTCTCTCTCTCTGGTCTCTCTCTCTGGTCTCTCTCTCTGGTCTCTATCTCTGGTCTCTCTCTCTGGTCTCTCTCTCTGGTCTCTCTCTCTGGTCTCTCTCTCTGGTCTCTCTCTGGTCTCTCTCTGGTCTCTCTCTGGTCTCTCTCTGGTCTCTCTCTGGTCTCTCTCTGGTCTCTCTCTGGTCTCTCTCTGGTCTCTCTCTCGGGTCTCTCTCTGGTCTCTCTCCGGTCTCTCTCGGTCTCGGTCTCTCTCCGGTCTCTCTCTCCGGTCTCTCTCTGGTCTCTCTGGTCTCTCTCTGGTCTCTCTCTGGTCTCTCTCTGGTCTCTCTCTGGTCTCCTCTCTCTGGTCTCTCTCTGGTCTCTGGTCTCTCTCTGGTCTCTCTCTGGTCTCTCTCTGGTCTCTCTCTGGTCTCTCTCTGGTCTCTCTCTCTGGTCTCTCTCTGGTCTCTCTCCGGTCTCTCTCCGGTCTCTCTCTCTGGTCTCTCTCTGGTCTCTCTCTGGTCTCTCTCTGGTCTCTCTCTGGTCTCTCTCTGGTCTCTCTCTGGTCTCTCTCTGGTCTCTCTCTGGTCTCTCTCTGGTCTCTCTCCGGTCTCTCTCCGGTCTCTCTCTGGTCTCTGGTCTCTCTCTGGTCTCTCTCTGGTCGCTCTCTGGTCTCTCTCTGGTCGCTCTCTGGTCTCCCTCTGGTCTCTCTCTGGTCTCTCTCTGGTCTCTCTCTGGTCTCTCTCTGGTCTCTCTCTGGTCTCTCTCCGGTCTCTCTCCGGTCTCTCTCCGGTCTCTCTCCGGTCTCTCTCTGGTCTCTCTCCGGTCTCTCTCTGGTCTCTGGTCTCGGTGGTACCTGTCTTGTGGCTGAGGTCTGAGGGCAGGTGTGGCGGGCTGGAGCTGAGGCTGGAGTTGAACTGGTCGTAGGGCAGCAGAGAGGACAGAGCGTGGATCCCGTGAGACTGTTGCACGACCGAGACTTTGTTGGACTGAGGAGAAGACACCATCGTTACTTTTCAACACTATCATGCGACATCACAACAGCACACACACACACACACATGGTAAGAGCAGTGGTTACTATGGCAACGGGTCAACACTGTTATACTTTCTATGTCCAACCCAGACGCAATCTACATGAAACAAGAGATACCAGAGCGACCATGAGAGAGACCATGAGAGAGAGACCATGAGAGAGACCATGAGAGAGAGAGACCATGAGAGAGAGACCATGAGAGAGACCAGAGAGAAACCAGAGAGAGACCATGAGAGACCATGTCTCTCTCTCCCTCTCTCTCTCTGTCCCTCTCTCCCTCTCCCTCTCTCTCTCTCCCCCTCTCTCTCTCTCTGTCCCTCTCTCCCTGTCCCTCTCTCCCTCTCCCTCTCTCTCTGTCCCTCTCTCTCTGTCCCTCTCTCCCTCTCTCTCGCTCCCTCTCTCTCTGTCCCTCTCTCTCTGTCCCTCTCTCTCTGTCCCTCTCTCCCTCTCTCTGTCCCTCTCTCCCTGTCCCTCTCTCCCTCTCTCTCTGTCCCTCTCTCCCTGTCCCTCTCTCCCTCTCTCTCGCTCCCTCTCTCTCTGTCCCTCTCTCTCTGTCCCTCTCTCCCTCTCTCTCTGTCCCTCTGTCCCTCTCTCCCTCTCTCTCTGTCCCTCTCTCCCTCTCTCTGTGTCTCCCTCAGTGCAGACTCTAACTGCTGTGAAACACTAGAATTACACAAACGTCTAAACAAATCCACCCACAAAGGTTTACTGCTCCTGAAACAAAACACTCAGACCACCTCACACCGCCTCTGGTCTCTCTCTCTGGTCTCTCTCCGGTCTCTCTCCGGTCTCTCTCCGGTCTCTCTCTCTCTCTCTCTCTGGTCTCTCTCTTCACTGTGGTCTCTCTCTTCCTTGTCTCCCTCTTTCTCATCCCTCTCTTTCTCGTCTCTCGCTGGTCTCTCCCTCTCTTCTCTTTCTTCTCTCTCTTTCTGGTCTCTCTCATCTCTCTCTTTCAACAAAAATCCGGAAACACACTTTTAATCTCCATGTTTTGAATGTGGTCTGAACTCCTCCTGGTCCTCGTCCTCTGGTCCAAACAGCCCCTCCCCCTCCTCCTCCCCCTCCTCCCCCTCCTCCCCCCTCTGTGTTTTTAACCTTCCACACATTTACATTTCTTGCCGGAGTCTTTGAACGTGGAAAGTTGCTGATCTTAAATCTGATAAATATTTCTGACTTAAGTTTTCTAAATAATGTGGTTTTCTGCAGATGTGGGTTTGGGCTTTGATTCACCACCTCCTGCTGAGATACAAAGTGAATGCCTTATCAGCGAGAACCAGCGACGCAGAGGAGCGCTTCTGGTCCAGGAGCAAACACCAGGTCAGAGCCAGAGAGCTACCAGAGGACCAGAGAG